GTATTTGTAATACTGTTTATTTTTCTCCGAGAAAAAAAACTACCGCTTTAAAGATTAAAAGACGTATCGCGATGTGCGTTAGGTTTGGTACGAGGGGTTAAATTACGCTCCTGCGCAGAGCTCCGGCTGCGGTGACCCCCGTCCTCCGTCGCGCCGGCATGGGCAAGCGTTCTCCACTCTCCTCGAATGTTCTCCGCTCTCCTCGTCGCCGGCGAACTCGTCGTCGTCGTCGTCGTCGTCGCCGCGTTTTAGCGGTGAGCCAGGCAGAGGCAGACGGCAGGCCAGGCCAGGCCAGGCTTCTCCTCCTCAGTCTTCACTCGCCGGCCGTTGGCAGGGGATCACGCATTGATCGCGCTCCCGCGCTGCTGTAGATCTCCCGTGTATCGGTGCACCTCGCGCATTCGCCGTTCCCGTAGGGAACATGTTGGCCCGACGTGAGCATCGCGGGGCCCCCCGGGTCCGCGCGATCGCGCTCTCTTGAGACCCGTGACGTCAGCCCGACGGTCTGTCTCCACCACGTTCCACCTTTCCTTATCTTCCCTCTTCTCTCCCGGTTCCTTAATCCTCGATAAGATCGCACGCTCGCGGATGGTACCGTGTCGGGAGTGCGTAACCGAGGGGCTGTTCTTTCGAATGTAATATTCCACCGGATCTCTCTTCCGTTCTCGTACCAAGATCCGTGGACCAAGAACTAGGACGCTCGGAGCACTGTCGCTGGATTTCTAGTCATCGGACCGGACTTCTCGGTTTCTGGATATGTAGATGCAAGGTGTGTAATCGTGATTCTCTTCGAGTTTTCCAGTCACCTAGCGCCTAGATGACGCAGATTTTCCATTGGAATGCATGTATTTCTTGCATTTTGATTTCCTGAATTTGTATATTAAAGTTCTGCAATTTAAATGCGTTTGTATCTTTCATATTTATAATGCCTTGGATGCGTAAATCGGGAATTAAAACACTTGGAATGCCTCGAGCTTTAGATTGTTCTATTTCTACGTAGGCGTTTAATTGAGCTGTATCTTCGGATACTTCCCATGAGTTTCTATAAACATTGCCCGTGCATAACATTAATGCTTTTTTAATGTGAAACTTCAAAAGCAGGAAATTGGCTTTTTTCGATTCTTAAACTTTTAAATCTTTGAATCTTGAACTTTTTGTAGGATTAAAAAAATTGTTTGATATTTGATTCCGATGCGTGTTTATGAGTTTTGTACAAATGAGCATAGTTTTCCCGAATTTTTAGATACTTTTAGCAAAAGACAATTCTGTTCTATAAAAATTATTAAAAAATTTCTATTTCTTTTTGTAAATTTAACTGCAATCGTTATCTGCGCTATTTGAATTTTGCTGCTTCTATAGTCTTTTGGTATCTAATTAAAATAAGTCATTTCAAATGCTAGAAAATTCTAGATAATATAAAATTACATTTCATACTAGGCATAAAAAATATGTAACTAGAATAATTGTATTTTTAATTATTTGCAAATGAACCGAGAGTTTTAATTAGTTGTGTCAGTTAATTGCTATCGAATGTAGATCAGGAATATAATAGTCATGTAAATGAGAAATCTAATCGACATGCTTGTGGTCCACTATTTTTTAAATTAAAATGTAAATTAAAATTAAAATTTTTTAGATGTATATTTTTAAATTACTGAGTCTTTTAAGTGACGAGTTTTTATACCCATAGCTGGCAATCGAAATAGATGTTAGAACGTTCTGAGATATTAGATTATATTTTGAGTCTGAATTTTCAAATGTATTTTTAAACTTTTTTTAATTTATACATTTAAAAATCCTCTATATATATATATGTATATAATTTACTACATCTGCAATTCAAAATATTTGGCAAATATTGCGATTATGAAGAATAAATAATGAGATGAATATAAAAGATTCCAGATTAATCCGGAGAAACTATCATTTTTTTTTTCGAGTGAATGGGAGAATGCAGAGCGACGTGTTCCGTACGATGGCAGGTGTCGGTGTTACACCTGTCCGCAGGCTGAATGCTCCGGTCAGGTTGCAAGTAGCGATAGTTCCAAACAAATATCTCTTTATCTTTATTTTAGTCAGCACGACAATAAATTACTTTACTTATTACGTTGCAACCTGTTCCATGAACATCGCATTAGTTCTCAATGACGGACTCTTTAAAAAATGCGAGGCGGACTTTCCCTTAGCGTAAGCGGGCTCATTATACTTTGCGATTTGTATATTAAAACTATAATTAAGGCTTGTTTTTTTAAAGCTTAATTTTTTAATTTGTTAATTATCACATATGCGATCCTATAATATACAATATTATATTGTTAATTTTTTAATTTTTGTTGAAGAAAAATCAATAGTAAATTAAGAGAAAATTTAAATAGTTTTTCCGTTATTTTTCGTTAATAAATGACACGAATATTTTTTAGACAGCTTATAACGCATATAATAACAAGAAGTATACAGTAAAAATGTTTACAAACGATAGAAATAAATAATAAAAGTATATACATTGAGTTTTTAATATATTTTCCTCTTATTGAAATAATTTGAAAATGAAATTATTTATTCACGGATTTGAAGCTTTTAATTCATAAGTTTTTAATTTATTTATGAATAACGCTTCAGTTAAATCTCTATTGAAATTTTTTGTTAAAAATATATGAAATGAAATATTTTTCATATTCTTATTATTATTAAATAATTTTATGTACACCTTATGTAAAAAATAATATTGCGATGTTCAAGCATTTTTTTCCTAGAAACTTTCCAGATATTGATTTTATGCAAATAAAATATCCGTCAATGATTTTTCACGAGTATCTCTTTGGAGACTTTCTCGGGTCGTTTGATAATGCCTCTTTGTACGACCGCGTTTGCGAGAGATATCGATAGGTACTGCGAGGGTATCGGGCCCATCGCTAGTCGCGGGGTCCCACTTGCCGCTCGAAGCGTCGAATTCCACAGCGTTTACTCATACGAAAGAACGAACTCGAAGACTTCTCGGGGCCGGAGAGAAACTTCGATGGCGGAAGAGAAGTGGGAGAGTGGTCGGGCAAGAGAGAGAAGAGAGGGAAGGGAGAGAGAGAGAGAGAGAGAGAGAGAGAGGGAGAGAGAGGGACGAGTCATTTAATTCGGTCTAATTCTATTAACATTTTAGAATTTAACGAAAAGATCCAATTTTATTGAAGAGTAAACATCACATGAACGTGAAAACAAAATACAAATGTAATCTCATCATTGAATTCACGATATAACGTTTTCAAAATTTAAAGAGATTGAGAATTCAGAAATTATAATTTCTCTTTAGATCTAAATGTAGCAACTTATAATGAATACATTCTTTTTGTATGTTTATGATTATTTTTGACATGTGAATTTTAAAAGTTATGAAAATGATGTCAAAACAAAAATTTGTGAGTAACAAAGTCCAAGGATCTAGGAATTTAAGACGAAGCGACACGCGGGTAAAGTACGCGGCGTTATTTATAAAAACAAACAAATCGCATGCTAGCGAATCCCGGGTATCACGTAATTTCTAAGTTAGTACATCGTCGCTTACAACAGATCTTTCGTAACGCTTGGGACATTGGTCGACATCCAACTGCCAAATTAGAATTGTAACCGACCAAAAGAACGCAAGGATACGAGAATTCGAAGAGATGACAATCTATACTTGAAATACAAGCATGGAGATATTCAATTATTTAAATATTGTCTTGCATAGAAATTAGAAGACTCTAATTCGAAGGCATACTGGACTTTATACTTATTTATCAATTTTATTCAATTACCATCTTTCTTATGTTTTAAGTATTTGCAGCCAAGATAAGATTACTGACTTTTAGCAAGTTGTAAAAAAACAGAACTTTGTGAATTCCAATGTAGAAATATAAATAATTCAAAGCCTAAGAAGCATTAGAAATTTTACAAAATTATTGTGAATTATAAATTGCGAATACAGGAAAAGGAAACGTGAAAAAAAAATTAAGCTGGTGAAAATAAGGTAACTGTACTTTATATGGCCTAACACTAAGTATAATCTACTCGCTGTTTATGAGTAATTACATAGTAAATTTTACAACATTAATAAGACTGTCCGTTTGACTCGATTGATCGGTTTATTGCTCAAGTTGTTTATTCTGTAATTATCAGTAAAGCAAAATGCAAAACGTTATAACGTAACATTTCGTAGGTAAGTAATTGCTTTCTATAACTACTTAGAGATGATTATTAATTTTTGTAGTTAATATTATCATAGTTGTGTATTGTAACATTTTTTGTATACTTTTATTGTTCTAAACTATTGATTATAATTCACATATTTAACATTGTGGAGATAAGTAAATAAGTAGATAAGTCAATTGTTCGAAAATAAGTTTTTTTGGTGTATTTTTACATATTAATACGTTAATAAATTTTTAATAAATAATTTTATAAAAGTACTATTGGATCTCATTATATTTTTCATTTCTCTAACACTTTTTTTTTATGGCAAAGAGAACAACTTAGATCATATTGGTATATTTATATCCAATATTATTTTTTTTAATCTTCACCACACTCATGTATATTTAAAAATGTTTCATAATTTTTAATGTTCAGAAATATTTCCCCAATTTAATTTTGCATTAGTTTTCAATTTTGGATTCAGCAAAAAATTAGAATAAAGTCACAAAGCTTAGGTAGGCCATATAGGGTCCAATTAACTTATTATAACGAAGAGAAATAAAAATATTTTTTTCTTTATATTTTTTCATTTTGCTATAACATAAAAACTGCATGATTTTTAAAATTAATTAACAACTAAATACAATTTTTGTTTCTTTATTCGTTCATTTTAATATTTCTTTGCGAACATACGAATTTGTGGAAACAAATGAAATACGCAAACCGCAAGAAATACGCGAATAAGGAATGCGCGAATATGGAGCTTTTATCGTATCAACTGACGTAAGGAGAAAAGAGTGAAAAAAATTGCTGACATATCTCGATCGTTGACATTTCAGCGCCGACCGCAGGACCGTGCCACGACGTAAGCACTATCGACGTGAACTCCAACAATCACCACCATCACCATCATCACTGCGGACACAATCAGCACGACCATCGGCCTCAAGACCGAATTCCATCGTCCTCCTCGATGTCTACCTTGCTATGCTGCGAGCCAGTATCGGCTGGCCGGCCTCGGGCCAATCTAAAGCTCGTGCTGAACCGCAGCCTGAGCGAGCCAGGACCGAGTCCGTGCGCCTTCCCAGCACCAACGACCGCTTCGTCGATCATTAATAACAACAACAGCAACAACAATCCCATCGAACCGCCTTCAATCGTGATCAACGAGGAGGTGAACGGCGACGAAGACGACGACGTCCATCGTCGTGGCTTCCATCATCTCCATTACCATCACCATCATCATCACCACCATTTTCACCATCATCAGCACCTATCGGTGACTACGAAGCGCTGCAAACTGGAGACTGCCAGCCTGCCTACCAGCCCCTGCTCCGAGAACGGCCTTCATCGCCAATTAGTGCTAAGCAAGACTCGCGTCATCACCGCAGACGACCTTGCCCAACGTCTTGTGCATCTTGAGCGACCCTCCGCCGTTCCGCCAGTGATTCTGGATTGCAGACCGTTTACATTATACAATGTCAATCACGTACGCGGTGCCATCAACGTCACTTGTTCGGATCGCTTCAACCGACGCAGACTTCAGCTGGGAAAGGCCACCCTCGCCGATCTCGCATCCGCTCGCGAGGGCAAAGAGCTGCTCAGAAAAAGACAGTTCAAGGAAGTCATAGTGTACGACGAAGGTACCGACGATCTGGAACATCTGACCGCTCAGAATCCACTATTTCTGGTACTCGCTGCACTCGTGGACGACGATCGGGAGCCGGCTGTGCTGATCGGTGAGCACTCTTTGATTTTTTTCGCACACCTTTCATCAATGTGCTGATTTATAAATTTGTGTAAAAATGAAAATGTGCTCAAATAATCTCGATTATTTTTTTTGCACCAAGTTTCTCCATTTAAGAACGAAAGTTTTCCAAAGAAACTGAATATGTATTTATATAAACTTTTATGTTATCTTATTTGAAAACAAATTGCAAAACGAAACTGAATATCTGAATGGAAAACTAGTTATTTCTGTATATAATTATTACTACATTGGCTGTAATTTAACTTGTTAGCTAGGTACGATTCTTGTGCTATCAAATATAGTACAACTGATAGTGGCAAGATAATGGTATCCGAAGATATCCTACGCACGGTTGACCCACACATATTAGCAATACATCTTAGACAAATTTTTCAGTTGATACCGCGTATGATTGTTTAGAGATACACAGTGATAGATATTGCGCATTGTTGTTGGAGATACATAGAGCTAAAGTTTTACGGTTTAAATTCTGTTAATATATAAGATAATATGATAAGTAGAATTAGTAAAAATTAATTTATTAGAGGGGGATATAACGCAAATAATTTAGAAATAATCTAAAAGTCTTGAGATTTAGCGATACAATGACTCTTTGATCAGAATGAGGTCTATAAAGTTATAACAAATCACTACGATATATTTTCTACACGCCAATCACTGCCGACGATCAATCTTCATTGGCCTCTCCCTCTTATTTTTTCTTATTTGTTTACAAAAGTGAGAAGCGGCCGCGAAACGGCGTACTGTTTGTCGTCTATCCGGTCCTCGACGTGGGAGTCGAGTCTCTGGTTTTCGGAAATAACGATGATGCGAGCGCGATATTTCTGCCGACCCGCCAATCGCGCGTCGAAACTTTACGTCGATCATTCTCCGCTATCATTTTTGCGTTTATTATTATATACTATTAACTTTTTCTAGTCTTCCACTTTTTTCTTTTTTACGATATATTATTATATTAAATCCAATTTCTTAGAAGTGTCTTTTGTAGTTCCTATCAATTTCATGTTTTTATCATTAATCTTCTTTTTCATAAATCAGCAAGATATATATATATATACATATATAAAGCAATTATTACGGAACGCTGTTTAAGCTGAAATGAAAGAAGACGAGCAGTCAAAAATAATTCATTTAAAAAAGCAAAAATCAATATTGGAAAGAATTAAATTTACTTTTCTATAACCCTCTTGTGTATTTTTGCACGAATATAATTTTTTCTAATATTTACTGAAGGAAAATAATTGATTTAATATTATTTTACATTTCTCTCTCTCTCCAGTTGCCCTTTTATTCGCTCCATATTTTCCACTTCACTTCTTTCTCCTAAATCAGCACTGGCATAATTTTATTTTAGATACTGTGCGCGTCTTTCTGACGTAAAAACTGTTCGCGAGAATTTAAGAATGACGTATAAACGGCCTTTACATAATTTAAAAATCCGAGTCATTTAAATGCAAACTACTAGACTTAAATAGAACATATTCCATTAAAAAGCGAAGGAAACGTTGTCTCTGTGTACGGAAAATCTCAATTGACATTTAAAGTCGCGTTGTCACGTAATAACATTTAGATTCGAGCGGATAACGATAAATACAACCTTCGTCTACAATAGAATCGTAGATCTAAATGCTACGCTACGTGAATGTGAAAATTAGGAAGATTACTGAGGGCGGTGTGTGAATCATATTTCCGTTCATTTTTCTGAATGGAATTTGTCGCGAGATATAATAGGGACTGAGGTTTCGGAGGGCTTCGAAGAAAGGGAACGCGGATGAAGAGATCCGTTCGAATGGATCGCGTGGCTGCGACGGCGACGACGACGACGACGACGGCATCGTGTGCTCGTCGTCGGCGCGTATGAAGGCGAAAGGTGGGGATCTATTCATAGGAGTGACTCACGTCGGAGATGACGCCGCGAATAGTCGGACAGATTTTGCGCGCCGCGATCTGCGCTTTCGCCGTGTTTTCGCGAAGCCGCGCAGGGAGAGATGAATTATAGCGGAGCATTATGGGAGATTTGTCCAGAGTTTACACGCTAATCGTGCCGAATTAAATATTAAGCCCACATTTAGCGTACTCATCGCTAAATATGGTCATGATTTTATGAGAAGCGACGTAACCGTAGGCTTCGCGATAACGGTATCGTCAACGCTCCAGCGATAAAATTTTCAAAGTTGAAGGATATAAATATATAGCATGTCACGATGCACAAAACAAAGGATCAACGTGTAAGAGTCTAAAGACAGAGATTTAAAATCTATATTTTTAGATTATTTTTTATTTTCGTATCCAGAAATCCATAGAATCGCAAATTGATATAATTACTCATTATAAATATAAACGTCTCGTTATAAAAATATATATTTAAAAAAAATTATCGAACCAATTAAAGGCACAATAATAATAAAATTCGAAGGCGGTGGAAAGAAAAGGAAAAAAAAAATATATTATATTATATTTTTTTTTTTTTTATTACAGATAGACAATTTTATTTTTTTATTATTCTCAGGCATTTCTTTCTTCGTTATTCAACAACGAGCAATAGGCGTCACTCTTGTCATCGTGTCTGGTTATTACATAATTAGTAACGATTCGCGGCCGCCTATATACGAGACGTACGAGACCGCAAAGCACATCGTGTGGCTCGTTTTGGCGAGGCTAATGTGCGCGTCTGGTCTCCCGGTCGGTCCCGATCGCATTTTTCTCAGACGACAACTACGACGGCAACGACGACGACGACGACGACGACTGACTGCGACGTTGAAGGCATGAGTCACCGTGTATATCGACCCTACGGCATGTTTACGCTGGCTAAGCGCACGAACGGCCATATGTCAAAATCACGATTGCATAACGTATCCCCTGCGTTGTCGCCGTTGCGTCTCTCATTCTCTTTCGGGATATTTAGATGTGAGTCAGTTGTACAGGCTACGAGATTTTTCTATCGCTGCGACCTTAACCCTTTCAGGTGCGTCCGCTCTTCCGTGCCTCCATCGTGCTATACGACTCGACTTTCGCTCGGGAAAGAGGCTAAAAAATTGCTCGAATAAAGACTTAAAAGGAACGAAGCGGAACGACGTTGCGTCCGTTTGTAAGATCGCGCATATCTTGGAATATTGTATTTTGTATTCCAACACTTTCTAGTAGTTTATTACAAGAATTCAATCGCTAGAAGCTATTCGTTTTACTATTCAAGAATAGTAGAATGTACATATTGTTGTTAATTTTATTAAAATATGTATGTATAAAACAAAATTGCAACAAATGTATTATTTGTAGTGTCAGTTTCTCTAGTCGACATTTCAATTATTTCACAGTTATATCTTTCTAGTTCTAGTTCTTTCAACTTTTAAAACTACGTACTACAGCTTGTATTTTAAGACGAAGAGTTTCAAAGTACGATTCTATTTGTAAAGTCACAGAAAAGATAATGTGGATGGAAGATAATAAAAAAAGTCCTAATACAGAAACAATTGTTTTATAATATGAATCAATATTGAGTAAATACTTATTAATAATCATTAACAATTAGAAAAAATTATAATATGCATAAAATTTAAAATTGTATAATATATAATGAACATATAATAAATGAATCAATTAATTTATTATTATAAAATAATTTAATAATAATAATAAATTTGATATAAAACAATTATAAAAGTGATTATAAAATCATACAGATAGTAACAATAAATCTATATATAAATTATATAATAATCTCATGAAAACACTTAAATACATATTTTAATATATGAGCAAACGTTTTGGAGTATTTAGAGTTAATAAATGAAGCTGAATTCGAAGCTTAATGAATTAGTCATCGCTCTCTGAAGCCGGGGGGTTGCTGTATTTTTTCCATTGTACCGCTTTTTCATCCCCCTTCCGCTTAAGGGTGCGACGAGAAGGTGGTCTAATCGAGGGGGAGCGTGCGCCTCAGAACAACGTACAACGCATCTGGATCAGCTGTCGATGACGATTATTACGTATGAGTCATCCGATACACAGCTCGCTTTAAAATGTATCAATGACTAACGCGCGTCCAGCTCACAATCGCTTCAGGCTCCCCCCTTCACCCCATCACCCTTCAGGTCCCTTTGTGTTGTATCGGCGTGATTCAAGTACTACTAGGATCGTGATGGAGGATCTAAAAATACGGGGTGTCTCCGGTGACTCTAGACGTGTCTCGTAATTACTCGTCAACTTATTTCTATGGTATCGACGTAAATATACGAGGGTGTTTCGATGATATAAGCTAAAGAGGATTTTCACAAGCGTGCCGGAATGATTCTACATAAAACGATAACGTAAAAAACGTAGAGAATTTTTCTCTATCTTGATGCTTTATTTTTGAGAGAATTGAATTTGTACATGCAAGGAGTAGTATTGTCACTTTGTTTTTATTTTAAGCTTGTATTGCTGTCACGACATCGCGTGTCATAGATTAATAAATTCATTCGACAACTATTTTATCGGTGTCGAGTAAAGTGTAAACTTTCTTTTTGTTTCATACCGTGATTGTTAAAATATATTGAATTTAGATTTTAGCAAGTTAAATTGAAATTTAAGCTTAAGTTATAAAAGGTATTACAAAGTAAACATTGTAATTAAAAAAAAAATTTTTTTTTTAATTCCTTTAACCAGACAAGTTTCTCATAGATTTTTGAGTACTTTTGTAAACGATTCCATAAGTCAAATTGTACCAACACGTCGGGTTTCCAAAGTCATCCAAGTTTAATGTACCACAAATGAATTTCTTGAGATATTTTTCATAAAAAAGTTAATCTTAAACGTTATCTTAAAATTCTGATCAGAAATCATGAATGTATTGTTCATCCTCTAAAAAAATGCATTTTTTAAATTTTAATATCTTTATACTTTTTAGCCACATTATAAAAGATTTAAATACAGGATTTTCTAAAGATTCGCCCCTATAACGATGAAGTCATGTATACTTATAATTTCTAG